GGTCATACTTGTGAGAGATATTTTCAAACAAATAACAGGTTTTTACCTTTGTTTATGAATTATAAACGACTACATTGGCTGTGAGCAGCGGGGGAGCAGGGCTCTGCGAAAGCTTCCAGATTTCCTGTGTGTGACGATGCCCCTTGTGACAGCTGCCCACTGTCACTCTGCCCTTGCACTCAACTCCCAAACACGGATGGTGCCTGCTTTCTGCTCCTCCACGTGGCTCTGTGCCGAGCCATCAGAAGGAGTCGTGAGTCCACCCTGCACTTTGGGGTGACTATGCTGTCAAAGCACAAAGGGACAAGAACCTCTGCCTTATTGTACTTCTCTGAAGAGTGATACAAGTGATATTCTACATGATGCCTCACATTCTGCAGCTTCATACAAGGCTGCAATATATTTGACTCTGTTTAACCCTCCAAACAGCCCTCAGAAATATTACTCCCATTTTAGAAAGACAAAACAGTGGCTCAAAGGTGCCAAATGCCTAGCCTGAGTTCATTTAGCTGTAAATGGCACCGCCAGGCCTTAAAACTGGGGATTCTGCCTCCTTTACATTACAGCTGCCTTCATTAATAAGTTAACAATTTATACTAAGCTACATTCATTTTGGTCATGATTCTTCATAATATTAAAGGTAAATTCTTTCCTTTGGTCAGCGTTCTTACTTTACTGTTAGCAAAAGAAGTTCCCCCACTAAATCCTGTCTGACTGGAGCTGCAGCCTTTAATCTTTCCAAAGACAATCGGCGGGATTGAGGCCTCATAATAAGGTGCCAGCCAACCAGGAAGCTGGGGAAATCTTCCTCCCAGGGGGTAATTGATTCCTATTAGCCTAACACTCCAAGCAGCACTGAGTTAGAAGGCTCCGTGAAAACGCGTCTGCTCTTTTTCCTCTGCTTCCAGAGGGAGGTTCACAAAAGCCTTTATTCTCCCCACCTCCTTAGAGTTAGCTACTTAGGGCTTTCTGGTTGTGTCCATGGGGCCAGACCTGAAATGTAAATGAACTGAAGAAAAATGAACAGAAGAAAAACAAATGTTAAGATTATCGTTATTTATACACTCAATGATTTAATAATCTAAAATAATTTAAGAGTAACAAAATAATCTTAAAGGAGGATAATCATTTAAAACCATGAAGTTTAGAAAACCAAATGTATCAGACCTAGGGCCTGGGAGGAAGAGGGTCTAAGAGGTAAGACGCCTGGGGCACAGCCCAGGTTCTGCTTCTGACTCTGTGCCCTTGGGCAAGACACTGAGGACCTATTCTCCGTACCTACCTGCCCCAGATTCCCGTGTCTAAGGAGGGTGCAGGACTACTGGCCACTCAAGTGCTGGGGCCTTCCTTCCTGGTGAGGCTATACTGCTAACCAAAACCTTAACTAGACCTCTCTCTCACGACTGCAGTAACATAACTGCTGTTAGAAATTGGAACCGTTGGCATTTGAGAAGCAGAGATATGAAGTCCAAGTTAAAAAGGTGTGGGATCTAAGTATAGGGTTAGGTGTTTCACTGAACTTCCAGGGCTAGGCACAGCACCTGACCTATAGCAGGTACTGGGCAAATGAATAGATGACCGGTGTCTGAACTGATGGGAGGTCAGGCCTTCGCCGGTGGTGGTGGACCTGGGGCAAGAAACCTGTGGTTGAGTCCTCATCCACTCTAACGTGATGGAAACAAAGTTATAGCTTCAGTTTCTTCCTGTGTAAAATGGAGACGATACTTCACAACCTCACACAGTTATGAGGAGTAAATGAGAAAATACTCAGTTCAGTGCTGAGCACACTGGAAACACAATATTGTGATCATATCCTTCACTCCAAACCCTTCTCTGAGGAACAGGGAGGATCCAGAGATAAGATGTCTGCTGGTAGGTAATCCATTAACCCTCCAGGCTTTTTGCTGGACTCTGCACCTTGTCCCTGAGAGTGGGATCTCTTTCTCCTGGGACCTGAGAGATGTGGTCCAGGGCCCGAAGGTGAAGCCAGGAAGTGGGCTCTGTGAGCCCCAATTTCAGCCTCCTTTGCACCAAGATCCAGTGGAGTCTTGGCCTGCAAAGCTGGGAGAAATGGTCCCAGGCCTGAGAATCGCAGCCGGGAGGGCGCAGGGTCATGGTCTGGGCCGCAGGTGGGGATACTGTCACTGTGGCTGTATTTCTGGGGGAGGGGAGGGAAGGAAACTGGGGCAAGGAGAGACTTGACCTTTCAGTGCAGTGTATGTGTTAGCCAGGAAGGCCTCAGCTCTTTCAGAATCGCCAGACCTGGAGACCCATTCGTGCACATTTAGTGTTTGAAACTTGGTGCAAGAACAGCCCATACAATCTAAGAAACAAGAGGTCTTTTTAGCAACCCAGAAGGATTGTCCCCTTTCCAAATGACGTGTTCTGGGCTTTTCCTTCTAACAGCAATTGTCTTCCCGTAGTTGAGCTAAATGTGATGCAGGCAGGGTGAGCCTCTTAGTGTATAAATGTATTTTTATGAAGTGTGCCTCGATGGAGCCACAGAAAATATATTAAAGTCTGAGAATGTTGAGAATTTGCCTTTTGCAAGATTACAGTGATTGTTGAAGAACAGAGAAGGAGAGGGCAATCCGTTCAGCCAATAGCTCCTTGGACGCTGTATTTTCCGTTGAAAAGCAGTATAATCTGCACTAACCCCTTCCCGTTTAAGAGATCAGAAACAAGAAAAATGGAGATTTTCCACTGCCTCCTTCAGGTTAGCCCAAACCCAATTCCCGGTGGGCGGGGCAGGGGGAGAGGGCTGCGTTGTGGCAGTTTCACTGAGAAAAAAAACCCAAAACACGACATATATATTTAACGGCACAACATTCTGGTTTAAAAACCGGGAGTTATCAGGGCCAAAAATAACCTTCAAGAAACTATGGACACTTTCCACTCTCATTCATTTCCAAAGACAACAGGATGCCTATACCTTAAGCAACCTTCACCAATTCATGCCTCATATTGATCTTTTTTCTTTAAGTGGTTCCTTTTCCAGAGGCGGCCAGCGGCCAAAACATTAGCCCCACCCTGAAAGAATGAAAAATTAAAGGCAAATCACCTTGGCACTGCCTGCCTCTTCCAGCACGCCCTGGGGATGCAGCTACTGAGGGGCTTTGTGTGATTACTCCTTAATATTTTTTTGCTCTTAAAGGGTCCTCAGTGGAGTCCTGAGGCCGTTCTCCATGCTTTTGTCTCCCTCAAATTCTCTGGATGGAGACAGTCCCAGGCGTTATAAACCGCATTAGAGACCACCAGAGACGGAAATTGCTAATTACCAAGTCCCTTTTGATCTCCCGGGGGCCGTTTGGCTCTTGACACTAGAGGCTCCAGGCTCCGTGCTTTTCCAGACCTGGAGCCGACTCGCACGTCCAGAGTTCGAGAGCCGGACTTGGGGTCTGCAGTTACCGCGTACGCCGAGGTCTGGATCAGATTTTAAAATTTTCCCCAGATTTCCCAGATTTTATATCCAGCAGCTGAGCGGGTGTGCTGCTGGAAGCCAATAAGTGTCCCTGTGCTGAAGCGTTTCATTCGTTTCAGCAGCAACTAGCTAGCCCGTCGCTTTTCTTTACATTTTAGAGGGAGACTGGGATAATAGATGATTTTAAATTTCCACATCCACTGCCCCTCTCCCCTTCTCCACCTTCTTTCGTTTGCACATGAGACATGGAGATTTCTTCTCTTTACTAGGATTATAATATGATTCGAAATTGTTTGTGAGATGAACAGAAGTCACGGGCAAGCGGGACAGCTGGGAGAGAGCGCTGATGGCAGACCGGCGGTGGGAGCAAAGGCCTGGCCTCCAAGGATAATGGGGAGCGGGCCTCCTCTCCGCTGGGTCGCCATGGTCCCCTTCATCTTCCAGGTAAGATGAATGGCTCTCCATCCATCATTCGCAGCAAGCCTCCTCCCCAGGCGAGCGGGGGAATCTGCTTGCTGATGAAACCTATTAGCCCGAACTGCGCGGCTTTGTGGAGCGGAGCGAGGCTATCCATTGTAGCCTTTGTCCGCAGAATTGAGGTATTAGCATAATGTATTTGCACTGGAACTCTGCGTCGGGTCGGGACACCCGCGTGCCCAATCTGGAGCAGAGGACGCGACGGCAGCTTCCTCACCTGGCTGCTCCCAGGGACTACCCTTGCCAGTACACCTGGGTCACGGTGCAGGCGCTCGGCAAGGAACTCAGCGTCTCATCCTTCTTTGGCTACCTTTGTGAGGCTGCGGCCAAGTTTGGGTGGGTGAACCCAAGCTAGGTCCATGTGACCCTGAAGCCGGAGAAATAAACTTGAAAAGAATCCGGCTTTCCAGAACGTTAGAGGCTTCACTGTTTTTCAACCTGACCGTTGGGAGCAGCGCGCTCAACGGTCACTGGTGCCTTGGATCACCAAGGCTCCTGGGGTTCCGATCGCGGGCGCGCGCAGGCGCGCGCGGGAGATCTGGACGCGTCGGTTGCTACCCGACCAGCGCAGGATGACAACAAGGGGGATTCCGGCATTTAAAGCCGAGGAGGTTCTGCGGCGTACGGGACTACGGCTCTACGGAGTTTTAGCAAAGAATCCACAGGCTTTCGAGGCGCGCACACTTCACAGAGTAAATGCAAATATTTGAGTTAGCCGAGGTCTCCAGGTATCCAACCCTTTAGAGGGAGGTAGTTCTGCTCAGGAATCTCGCCCAAGGGGATTTTCCACCCAACACGTTCCCAAAGTGCCCTGAATATACCACGGTCCAGACAGGTGCAGAATCTTTCCTGCGGCCACACCTCGACCTCTGCTCTTCAAAAACGGCCGCTTAAAGGTCGGAAGGGCTTAGGTCGCGCGTGCAAGAGGGCGCCAGACTGGAAGGACTCACCGTGCAGATCACGGAGCCGGAAAGCGGCCTTCATAAGAGCTAAGGTCCTGCGCGCCCCCAGCTGCCAGCAGCGCTAACCGCAGGCGCCCAATCAGCGCTCTTGCCGGGTCTGTGACGGCGTTTGGCCCCGCCCCCTGGGTTGATAAAAGGTCTTTGCGAAGAGGAGAACACGCTAGAGCATAGCGCTGGGTCCTGCGTCCCTGTACTGCACGGGACCCCAGGCGCGCTTCTTTGCTGTCTTCTAGCGCGGGTCTCACTGTCTCCGCGGTCAGTCGTCGCTAGTTCCTCATCCTCCTCAGTCCCCTGTGAGGTGCGAACGAGCCAATCTGTAGGCTTCTTCCCCTTCCTTTTTTCTCTCCCTCCCTCCTCCGCAGCCGCCGTCCCCAGAGGTGCTGGGCTGCTGGCCCGCAGGTGAGCATCGGCGCAGCGCCCCTGTCCGGCGAGCTCACCTTGCCTGGTTCGGCCTGTGCCGGAGCGGTGGCGGGTCCACCAAGACTCTCTTCTACCTACAGGATGAAGAACCCAATGCTCCAGGCAGTGTCCTTACTGCTGGAGAAGCTGTTCCTCTTCTCGAACTTCAAGCTCTTCAGTTTGGGCGCCCCGAGCGAAGACAAGGCGAGGAACATCAACTCTTTCCTCCGCGGCGATGTGCTGGAGGTGCCCCGGTTCCACCTGACCCACAGTGGCATCTACCTGGGCGACAACCGTGTCGCCCACATGATGCCCGACATCCTATTGATCCTGAGGGCCCACAAGGGGCTCACGCAGAACGTGGTCTCCAACAAGCGTCTCATCCTAGGTGTTATAAGTAGGGTGGCCAGCATTCGCGTGGACACAGTGGAGGACTTCGCCTACGGAGCCGAAATCCTAGTCAATAACCTGGACAAGGCCCTCAAGAAGAAGGCGCTGCCCAACGAAGAGGTAGCGAGGAGGGCGGAGAAGCGGCTTGGTCTTACTACCTACAGCCTACTGTGGAACAACTGTGAGCACTTCGTGACCTACTGTAGATTCGGCACCGCGATCAGCCCCCAGGCTGACAAGGTAGGCGTGTGGCTTGCCCTTAGTCTCCGCGGGGACACCCACTCCCATCCTTAACTTTTTCTCTCCTCTGGGATCAGGGATTGAGTTTAAGATTGAGTAAGGAACACTCTAGTGTTCCTAAGAGCGAGACCAAGTAAATAAATGGTGATGTTCCTTGCCAGGATATCTCAAAAGGCACGGTGAAAGAGTGTGGCAATCCAGTACCTCAGACCGCAGTTCCAGGAGGGCTGCCTATTTATTGCTGCAGAAGTCGTCAGGGTGTCCACCCAGCGTAGTTTACAACTGATCCCAAGATTTGCAATTGGAAGGAAGGTGTCCAGAGTTTATATTTAATCCATAACACTATATACAAATGGTGCCTTTAAAATAAGGAAGCTTGCAGTGTTCTCCCTATGTAAGCTGCAGGCAGTGAATTCCCTTTGCTTAATATAAACTATCAAAATTCCCAGTAAGATGACCTCCCTGGTAGATCCCTCCCTACTCCTGTGTCCTGGCTTCAAACAAGTCTTTTTCTGGGTATTCTGAATTCTTTCTGTGTTGGCTTTAATCCCCATCTAGACATCCTCATTGTTAAGCATCCTTTACCCATTAGCCCCAAAGGTGGGTTAGATTGTTTATGGGTCCCCCAGGAATCAAAACAATTGATTTTCAGGAAGAGCCATTAAGTGTTGGAAGGTGATTTTTATGGTTGTTTAAAACAAAACAAAACAAAAAAAACATTAGAATTTAAGATGATTAATTTAGCTGCAAATCCAAAGGGGGAAAATGGATTTTTATTTGCTTTTGAAATCTCTTAACTTTTAAAAGAGAGCTAACATTTTAAGCCTGCAACTTTATTTGCAAATTAGAAGCTTTCTCAGCATCCCTGTAGTTAAAGAGGTATAGTTAATGTTCACTCTTCACAATGAAAGCCTAGGTAATCATAAAATGAGCTTCAGGTTTCATTCTGCATTGAGATATTTTTTGGATCAAAAGAATCTGAGTCCATATAACCGATTTTTATTGCTCCACATCTTGATTAACTTTTTGACTCATACAGTAAAACCTTTTCTTGGTGGCAGTGCATGAAAGTATTATGAAGCTCATGATTATTTATACAGCCACGATAGGCTCAATCTAGGAATGCTTTTCTAAGTAAAATAAAAATACAGTTAGAGGACTGTGCAGCAATTCGAGAATCAAAACTCCAGTCCAGGCCTGTTGAGAAATGAACTTCACCGCATTTGCAAACACTGGTTCCAAAAGTGTACAAAAGGAAACATGTCAGATTTGCTTAGGAACCAAGCAAATAATTTCTCTAAGGAAAACAGTATTTCTATCCGGTAATTAAGAGTCAACCTTTCGTGGAACACACGTAGCTCTGTATTATATATTTCTACAGAAAAACAGTTCAAATGCTTTTTTTTTAAGGTAGTAAAATATTTAATCTGCATAAATAACTAGTTGGAGTAGCTTTTCATCGTGGAAACTTTGTAGGGTTTTACAGAAGTAGAGAAGGGTTTTAATTGCTGTTGCTGCATAGCACCTCTTGTGAAACTGTTTTTGTCTTCCCTTTGAATGGTCTAACAAACAATTTGGCTACAGAGTAGATTTCCTGGGAAAAAAATCCACATCCCAAATTTTCCAATTCTAAGAACTGTTTTTTCAACATGTCCTGTAAGAAGTAAGTCATTAATACTGAAGGAGGACTGGTTTCCACTTTTCAGAAACATAAGGACTTACTTGATTCTGGATCTGAGGTTTGAGTTCTTCATATCTACAACTCTTAAAAGCTTAACATGAGAGTCACAAAGTTGTCTCTTACTTAAACTGGAGTTTATAAAAACTCTCAAGAGCACTTTTCCCCATGGAAACACTGCAACTAATTTGAAAATAAACTGGATAAGAATCTTTTACTTTTTTGTAGTCTTTTTTTTTTTTACAAGTTTAGAAATCATAAAATTAAGGGATTTTTTATATTGCTGTTAACAATTTCAGTGTTTCATAAACTATAAAGCCCTTTAATTAGTAACTATTACTATTCCTTATGCTTTTTCTACCTTTTTTTTGTTTTTATTTTTGTATTACTTTGCTGATATTGCTTTTCAGTGCCAAAAATGAATGCAAACACCACTTTTAATTTCTGGGGATTCAGTGCTCAAAATGTGTCCCTATAGACTTCTTACCTTCTAGAAATGCAGGACATTTCCTACTATTGAGTACCACTAAAGATGATTCATGGCTGATGGCTAAGTGAACAAGAATGGGATATTAGAAATGAGATACTCCTTGACAAAATCCGCTTTTCAGGGAAAGAGAGTACACAATGATTGTTTGCCTTAATTAAAAACTATTGGAAGAGGGCCGACCAAGTGGCTCAGTTGGTTAAGAGCTCCCTCAAGAGTGAGAGCTCTGAGCAACAGGGTCACCAGTTCGATTTCCGGCCCGAGCTGAGCTGCTGCTGAGCTGCCAACAGGTGTCAGGATGACTCAGCAAAAAAAAAAAGAAAAAAAATTATTGGGAAAAATATAAAAGAAGCATAGCTGTATCAAGACAACTTACTCATTTACTTAAATGTATATCTTCCCATTATTTGCCAAGTAACTTTTCTCATTGTCCAGAAAACTTTGTTCAGTTTGAGCATCACCACTTGACTATGTATTTGTACTCAATGTTTTGTCGGTTTAGTAAAAAGAAACAAAATATATGTTTGACATATAAAAAGACCAGCATTGTATTTAGATATTATATACAAGTATGTATAAAGAGAATCTTACAGTCAAGATAGTGTTAAAACATGTGAGACTTGTGCATTCCACCTATTAAGAATTTGGAGACCTAGAGGTCTAGTACTATATAGGCCACTGTAGGAGACCCTAAAAGCTTATACTATGTCATGTCTAGAAAAGGAGCTTAAAATTAGGATGAGTAGCAAAACTCATATAAAAATGGAGCAATTAACTGCTAAAATCTGCCTTGATAGTGATGAGGTAGAGATGATTGTCAGCAGATGTAGCAGTAATAAGCATTGTAATACATTTAGTAGAATGCAGAGTACTTTTGCATAAAATATTTCACTTGATCCTCACAACAACCTCACTATTCCCATGGAGAAGGTGGTAGTCTGGACAGGTTAAGTGGTTTACTTTAGGTCACAGAGATAATAAAAAGTAGCTTCTGGATTCAAATGTAGGCCATCACTTCTGAATAAAATTAGTTTTCTAAGAAAAAAAAATGCACATATGAGAAGAATACACCCTTCAGGGGTAGGGGTCCTATTTAATTTACCTTTCCAGCAGGCTTTTTTTTTTTAATCACATAATTGTGAGTTTGTTTAATTTATTTAGGCAGGTAATGGGATTTGGCAACAAAATTAGACATTCTATGCTTATGGATTTGAGATTTATAAGAAAGTTATCGATATCACCAGATTTAGCATGGTAAATTGTAGGAATTGAATTCATCAATAATAATAGGCTAAATTTATATTATTCAAGATTAGAGATCTCTTCAACTAATTTTAGAATATTTTATTGTTATTGATAAGCAGTTTGATGTTTTGAATCTTTAATCCTGAATAACTTTTTTTTTTTTTTAAAGATTTTTATTGGGGAATTAGGGGATGGGAACAGTGCTGGGGAATTGGGGGAAGGGGAACAGACAAGTTGCTGTCGTTTTGTTCTTCAGTCTAGTTGTGGAGGACATTGCTTCACTGGCCCAAGTTGGCACCATCATTGCGCTCTTCGCAGGTGAGGCAGATCAGTCGCCGGCTTCTGGACGGCAGCTCACTGCTGCTGCTGGCCGCTCACGCTGGCTGCTGGCTACATATGGTAGCCCGTGGCAACCCACTGCCAAAGGGGCTGTAGCCTACGCTGACGCCGGCGACTCACAACATCCCAGCTCCAGATTGAGCTGTTGTTCAGCATCTTAGCTGTAGAGGGCAGTGTCACTGGCCCTCATATGTGGGATCCAAACCGGGGCCCTCTGGCGTCCCAAGCCAGTTCTTAACCATCGCGCCACTTGGCCAGCCCCTGAATAACTTTTATGTGGTTACATTCTTTGTAGTTTTCCACGAAAGTTCTGTATTTACAAAGGCAGCTGCCATTACTAACCCAGTTGCCTAATGTGCTGTTTCAGCTGCTATGGGATGTGGAATCAAGAAACTGTACTTATAACATCTTAAATTCTTTCATAAGTCATAAGAGAAATTCTGGTTCTTCTGGTAGACAGAAAGTAGCTGGGAAAATGGTGCTTTATTATTTGGTATATGATTTTTCCTAGGCTTAGCCACTTTTTCTAATATTCTTAAATTTTATTTTCCAGTTTCGTGAGACATTGAAGATAATTATTCGTGATCAGAGAAGTGTTCTTGCCTCAGCACTCTTGGGATTGGCATCTATAATCTATCTGGGGTTGACATCATATACTGCCCTTCCTGCAATTTTTATTCCAGTCTGCTTATGGCTGGCTGGCTAACTTCACAACCTCGTGTCAGTATTCTGTGTGTGAAAGTTTATATTTATAGGGCACAAATCAGTATAACTATCGTCGATAAAAGTGTGACCTGTGACACTGTCTGGATAAAAATGTGATTAAGAATCACAGAAAATGCTTACTGTGTAAGCCCAAGAACAAAGGCTTTCTGGTCTTCCTCAGGCAGTTCCAATATAAAATACATGGCGACTTGTGATAGAATTCATCATTACAAGAAAACCAGCCCTTAAGATGATGGCCACAGGAGATTGTTTGTGTTAGTGTTTCTCCTGTAATCATTGATCATCTCTGTTACGCCTGAATTTGAAGATTGGAAGACTTACTGAATGAGATCACTAACTTTATTGTAAATTTACCTTGTTTTATTGTAAAACTTATATTAAACTGAATTTCTCATGTTAAGATGAAAACATGTTTGATGATTGGCCAAAAAAAATTTGCAATCTTTTTTCATGTATCATATATGATTCTCAACAAGTCAAGAATATTTCATTACTTGAAACCACATTGGCACAGTTATGGTTTGATGATAAAGTAACTGACCGGAAGTATAGAAATCTGTTTTCCTGTAGAAATATCTACTACAGCATCAGTTGAACAATTTGATTTGGCTTTACTTAATAAGAAAGACTGGCATTCATTTTTTGTTTGTTTGGGTTTTTTTCCTTTTATATGTCACTGTGGTTACTTTAAACCACTCTGAGAGGTAAATATTTAGATATGGGACTAAAGTAATTTGGATTCTTGGAGTATGGATGTGCCAATTAAACATGCAGATATCCACATGCATTCAGATTGATGAGAAACAAATTTTGTTCTTGATTACTTTATTATCATACCAGTCTGGTTATTATAGAGCATTTGTGGAGGTGAATGTTAAAGCAAGTTTAATCCACTTTCTTAAGCCCTTGGCTGTGGTGTAACTTGCATATATGTCATTGGATGTTTAACTTTTAAAGCAGTTACTAATGTACTGTATAAATTTTAAAAACCCTCAGATTTGTTTTCTAGTCAGTTTTCTCCATTTCATTGCCAAGTAAGCTTACACCCTTAAAAGAAGGATGCCACGGCAGTATGTAAACTCCAAACGAGTCAGACCAATGGAAACAACTGTTAGAAATCATTCTTAAGTGTCTCAGAACTGCCAGCCATGTAAATTGATTACATTGAGGCTGTTTCAATATCAGAGCGGAGATGCAGCAGTGTGAAAGCAAGCGTTCAAGTACTTTTCCAAAGTTCTAAAATTCTAAAATTAAGCCACATCTAGACTTGTGTTTCAAGTATTAAAGTTATTTTATAAACTATCAAGAATGACAAAATAATGAGTAACATAATGGTTGGTATGAGACGGGCAGGTTCCGTCACTCAGTGATCCAACCACAACAAATTTAATAGCAGATTTTAATGTAACTGATGTTTTATCACCACCAATTTACCCACACCAAATTCAGTTGGAGTTTAATAATTAAGCTTTGTGTTTATTCATTTAAATTAAAACATGAAATGGAAACACTACAGCATAAAGTTCTATGGGTCTTCTCCAACCCTTAAAATTATTTTAACTATGTATACAAAAAAACAACCACCATGAGATATCCACTGTATTAGTGTTTTTTTCAATGATTGTAGTGAAAATTGTCTTGTAGCAATTGCTTAAATCATTTTTAAAAAATACAGTGTCCTCATAAATAATGAACACCTTTTTGCAAACTTTAGTATTGCAGATAGTAAAAACCACTGATGTTAAATCTGTGTTCAAAGAAAGCGATCCGCATTGAATGCCAAGGGAAGTACTTAAGGTTGGAATTAACATAATTAGTCTTGACTCACTTCATATTCTTAAAGCAATATTCAATTCATCATTTGTTTGAGCGCTCACATATGCCTGTTGCAATTTCATGGTCTAGAATGAATATCCTTTAACTCCCCATATTAAAGTGTATGCAGTGCTATGGAAATGCAGGGGAAGAAGACACTAAATTGTCAGAGAAATCTCTTTGAAGGAGGCAATGCTAGCATTAAGCTGAGAAATAGTAAGAGGTGATCTTATCATAGCTGATGTGATGTCCCACTACATATGGGAAAAGGGAACTGGGAGGAAGATTTTATTGAGTTGTCGGAAAAGTCATGATGTATATTTTCTATGTTTTTCATTGCAAAAATGCGTCATGACTTTTCCGACAACCCAATATTTACTAAACGTGGTGCCACAACACTAGAAGTTTTTGAACTTAGGCAAAAAGGAGAGTTTTTGGTTTTTTTGTGCTCAGTTTGATTAGTTGCTTGACTAGCTAGAAAAAGACATAAATATTCCTGATTGTGGTTGTGGAAGAAACCCTGAGCCATTAATATGTCTTGAGTGAATTTCAAGACTGGGCTTCATCAGTTAAGATGTATCCTTATGATCCTGAGACCTTGTATTTTCAAACTTCTGACTTATGAAATGATAATCAGGCAGTATCCGATGCAGTGTTTTGTTGCTTTTTTTTTTTCCCCCCCACACCTAGATGAATAACAAATAGGACTATTGGGGCTAAGATGAAATAATACAAGAGTCAGGTACTGTGCAGGTGTTAAGGATGAAAAGGTGAAAGACGTGGACCTCTTTCTCAAAGTTCATAGCCACGTGGACATAGAAGTATTAAGACATTATTCAATAGGGCTGATTGAAGGCATAGAAAAAGAAGTGGTTGGTTCTAACTGATCAGGCCAAAATTATAGGGACTGAGGCTTGGAAAAGTGAGGTGTTTTCCAGAGGACAGATTTGGGCAGGACATTCTACACAATGGGAACAGCATGAGCAAATGCATGAAAACTGCCCACGTAAGTGCGAGGCACACTACTATTTGTTGACTGAAAGCATGAAATTCCATTGAGCATCCGGGCAAAAGCAAGTGGTTCAGAGGCTAGAGCAGAGCAAAGATGATGAGGAGAGATGTCGGAAAAAGAAACCAGCGATTACGTGGTGCAAGTCTTGTGCAGACCAAAAAGTGTGCACTTAATGAACAGGCGATGGAGATTTGGGGTTCAGAAACGTAACTCCCAAAAGTACGGAGGAAGGGTGGGAGCATGGGGCAAGACAGGATGAGGCGATCTAGTAGGGAGACAAGCTATGGTTCTCAGTCTCAAATAAGGATCTGTAATTGTGAGGATGGAGCGCAGATGTGTCAAGGAAGTGTCAACAGACTTCAGCCAAATCTTTATTTTTGAGTAAGTCTTGGTGGGGTGTCAGGGAGGAGTCATTCATCCTTCTTTCCTGCCAGCAAGTTGGTTTCTGAGAAATAAGTGAACATGGCAGCTGTGCGTCTATCGGATACTCCATATCTTTGTTCTGCTAGATATATTTCTTTTTAAGGACAAGCAAATAAGGTTTTCTTGTTTAAAAGATTTTTTTTTTCAGGGTATATATTTCTTAGTTTTTCTATTTCATACTATTACTGTCAAATATAAAAAAAATGTTTTCTAGCAATATTGAAGTTATACCAATGGCAAAGCTTTTTTGTTACAGATGAGAGGCATGTAAGAAATGGTAGTTGCCAATCTTCTGTTTTATATGATTTATTTAGAGAGTTTTACCCAACCAAGATCTGTTAGCTCAACTAATTTTATATTTGGTATACATGTATGTTAAATAAAATCAATTTTACATACTGTCTTCTCTTGTGTTTGAATTTGAAGTACATAGAAGTAGCTCACATGCATTTTTTTGAGCATGGTAGCCTGAAGAAATATGCCTCTCAAAGCTCCCTTTACTGAACATAGTTTTATATGTTTGAAATTAAAACTTTATGCAGATCTGCCCTCAGACTGATATGCTGTTATCTACATCTTGAAGTCTACCTTGATTATGTAGAAAAAGGTTCTGTGTAATTAAATGACAAATCCCTTCTCCAGTCCACAAAATCAAACAACAACAACAAATAATTAGAACCCTGGGCATGAACCCTCTAACCAGATGTGTAATGCAACCAAGTCTGCAGCTTTACTCTGGCCATGGATGGGGTGAAGTTGAGGTATGGGTAGAAGCAAGTCCCAAGGCCAGTCTTTAAGAGCATTCATAGCATTGCAAAGAAGCATAGAAGTTAATGGGCCGAACTCTTATACATCTAACCATATTTCAGATGTGGAAAATCAGGCACAGAGGTTGAGATATTTTGTGGTTATGCAAATAAATCAGCCAGACCCAGAACTTGACTCCAGCTTTCTTTTCACTATACAACATTTGCTCCCTGAGGTCTCCCATGAATTGGACATGCTTTCCTCCAATGAATTTATTAATTTCTTGCAGACTTTCTGTGTACTCCAAGCAGGACCCATAAGAATGAACCAGTTAGAATCTTAGTCCTGTAGTTGCTTAATCTAAGGAGAAAAGAAATGGCAAGTAAATAGATTTCAAAAGAATGATAAGGTGGTACAGGTGTCAGAAAAGCAGAGAGACAGACCCATACCTGTCAGTTGGGGGCTAGTAAAGGAGAGAGATGTCAAAGAAGTCTTCACTGATATCTTAGCTGTAAAAAATACAAAATCTCCCTTTTCCAGGCTATTGCAGGGGCCTGAACAGTAAGTACAAAGGCACAGTCATGAGAACCCACATCACAGTTGGATTACGGCTAGTCATTAAGAACAATTACCCCTGTTTATATTGCTACTTTGAGAGACAAGAGTGCCCAGGACTGTTGCAAAGAACTCACCATTTCTTTAAGAAAGAACAACTCAGGTGATGCTGGAGATAATAGGCAGGATCCCGGAGTAGATTTTACACTATAAAAGTCTGAAGTGGAAAGAAAGCATTTCCTAAACTTTCTAAGTGCTCTTTGGCTGAGCCTTAGGCAATTTTGTGAAACACATGACAAATAAGGGTGGAACTAGGTTGTGAGGAAAAGAAACACGCATTTTATGGATGGAGGCTTGTTTAAGGATGCATGGAGAAGTGGGTAGTATAGAAATCACCTTAATAGGTGAACGGTCACTTCTCCTGTTCAGCTCAAAACTGTTTCTGTATCCCAACGATAACCCTAGTGCTACCTCATCTTGACCCCAGACTCTGTCCCAGACATTTCTTTCCATTGAGCTTATAACTGCTGTTCCCATTGCTATCTACCTCCTGTTGCTGCCACTTAGTGTTCATTGCTTCTACTGCCTCCTGGCTTCCTTTACACCTTCATGTTTCTTTGACTTATGCTCCACTCTATGGGGTTGCCCCTGTCCTTCGTTTGAAATGGCCAGAGGATTTGATTAGGCTGACCAGTCATTATGTGATATTAGTGGTTACAGTGAACAAAGTTCTCTAACCAGGCTGCCTCACGGGCCATTGGTCCCTCTCATATCCTTTAGGTTTGGTACGTTCAGATGAGGTGACATCCTTGGGACAATCAGTTGTTGCCAAGTTGTACAACCACGTTACCCAAGGCATGACCATCTACTCTAAAGAAGCTACTTGTAACTGATTTTCCTTTGAAAGTAAATCAGTTTTAGGCTATTAGTTTTAGTTAAATGAGAGCATAATAACTAATTATCACCTTAGCTCATTTTGCAACATTGTAGGAAACAGACTAGACGAGGAGATATAACTTAAAGGATATCCATCAATTCTATTACCAAAATGTGGGAGAGAAATGACGACGACTAGCTGTAAGTCAGTGGCCGTGGGGATGGAGAGGAGAGAGTGGACTGTTTCGAGGGGTGATTAAGAGGAAGACTGTTTCATATGGGGTCCAATCAAGAAGACAGAAACCAGCCTAAGTGTTGTCTGGTGGGATGTGCGTGTATGTGTATAATACCCGAGTTTCTCCTTTCCTTTCACTCTCCAATCTTCAGTGAGGGCTTCACACTGGCCAACTAAGCCAGAAGTCAGCTGATAGGAGGGCCTGGGAAACAGCCTGCCGGGAAAGATAAGAAATGTACCTTAGAGATAATAGGCCAAGACTAGGCAGCAGGGTAGGTGTACTTGTATTGTGCCATACTGGCGAATTTAGGGGCGTGGACTCTGGGAGAAGTAAGACGACCCTGCTTTGGATATATAAAGTTTGAGTAGCTCAGGGTTTCACAGGTAGAAATATAGAGCAGATGTTTGGAAATAGAGTCTCACGCTCAAAGACAGAGCTCAGAGAAGGGGATAATATTTGGGAGTTACAGTAATGGTGCTTGAAGCCAAGTATATGAATTAGACCATCCTGGGGGAGACTATGAAGATTAAAAAAAAATGTAAAGATGAAAGACTAGGGTCATAAGAGGAAGGAAAAAGTACCAAGCATAGTTGCAGAAGAAGAATGAGGAATGACAGTACAAAAGGTTCATGCAGAGTAGGAGACACTTTGACAAAGCCAAGGAGGAGTGAGTTCTGGAAGGTCAGAGTATGAATAACATCAAAATATAGAGGAGAGATAAGGGCTGAATAGTGTTCACATTGGATTTGACAAATAAGGAGACTGTGAGTGATTCTGATCAATAAGCACCCACTAATGCTATGTATGGGGGTGTTAAAGAGGTTGGGGGAGGATTCTCGGCAGATTGTGGGTTGAAGTGGAAGCAGAAATGAGTATGGGCCTCTATTTACAAAGTTTGGTGGAAGCAGGGGAAAAAATGAAGCTGAAAGACTCAGAAAACGAAGTATGTATCTGACATCTGTTTACACTTCAGCATTCTTCGGGGCGGAACATACTGTAAGCTGCTTTATGCCTCATTTAAGAAGCATAAATCATAAGTTAATTTTCATAATTCTTTTTGGAGGGACACCTGGTCTTTTTATGATATTATCAGAACTGTACTTTTCTTTCAGAACAGTGATTACTATCAGAGGGTGAATCAAATCAATGACTGACTCAATTCCCATTTCTACTGGCTTATTTGAAAACACATAGTCAGATGGTAATTCTGATAGGGTCGGGGAAGTGGGAAAGGGTAGAGATTTAAAAACAAACAATCAAACAAACTACTGCATAGGACTCTAGAGTCTTGGGCTTTCATTCAAACAATCTGTTGCGGGAAGTCCATTACCATTTCTTCCTGTTCAATGGAGCAGAAAGATGAAGACAGTGCAAGACTCAGATTCAAACGCTTCTGGGGCTTTTTGGGCAGCATGACCTTGTAAGTATTTCATGTTCTCTACAATTAAAACACATTTATTATTTTATAAGTTGCTTTCACATACATTCACTCACTTAATAATTATATCCTATAAAGCAAAGAACAAATGGAGCCTATAAATATTGATTGACTTAGTTTTTAACCAATTAGGTGTTATTCTTGTTTTTATAGTCAAGGAAACTGAGGCTCAGCAGGTTAAATGTTTAAGGGCCTACATTCAGAAATGCAGTATCAGGACTCAAATCTTGATATTTTTACTCTGAATTCTGTGTTATGTACTATTTGTGGGCAACCAAGTAAATGAGGTTATCAATTTCTTTTCAGGATCATACTACTATGTCCAGCCAGTGGTCACTCAATATTAGAAGGGGACGCATAGTCCTTACCTTTGCTTTTTGGTTATAGTTTAAAGTTCAGTATGATGTAAAAGTTCTTTTTTTTTTTAAAGATTTTTATTAGGGAATTGGGGGATGAGAACAACGCTGGGGAATCAGGGAAGGGGAACAGACAAGTTGCTTTTTTTGTTTTGTTCTTCAGTCTAGTTGTGGAGGACGTCGCTTCACTGGCCCAAGTTGGCACCATCATTGCGCTCTTCCAGGGCGAGGCAGATCAGTCGCCGGCTTCTGGACGGCTGCTCACAGCGGCTGTTGGCCACTCACGCTGGCTGCTGGTGTAAAAGTTCTTAAAATCTTAAATCTTTAACCAAGGAATATAGAAAGGTAAGGTGGTGTTTGCCCCTGGAATCTTGACACAGCTAATGTCTACTTGTAATTTTGTTAAGGGCATCCATGCAAATTGCATGAACGAGACACTGTTCATGCTCAGTGGTCTTCTGATGAGGGCAATATGGTGTTTATGAGCTGACACCAAGGTGAAAACTCTTTATTCCATAGTAAACTGTTTACAAAGCAGCCTCCTTTTGTGAAGCAACCCAAGACAGATATTAACAACACAACACAAAAGTCTATAATAATAATCATCATCATCATCATCATCATCATCATAGGTGTGTCACTCTACCATCTGTTAGTATTACACACAGATGCACACACAGTTCCCTAAACTGGGCTTCTTGGCGTTTGGGACTTATCCTTCAGGTATATGAGGACTCATTTCTGGGTGATGGAATTCACATTCCAAGTTCTAGCCCTGCAACTCAACTGGGAGAATACTGAAGAGCTGAGGCACGGGGTTGGCAAATGGACTATCCTGGCTCTTCACCGATGGGGAATGGTGCAAATCCTTCTCAAACAAAACTTCCAGGCCTGTTGTGAGTGGTAGAATCACAGATCATGGCAGGCCTGGGTTGCAGGTTGAAGGACACTGTTTACATCTGAGATATATGTATAGTGTTGGTTCAGCAGAAATCTGCCTTGGTCACTTTCTGAGAAGAGATAGGATTGAATATCCTCCTCTAGCTCTAAAAAGTGTTTCTTCCAGTCTCTGCCACTTGTGAGCCAAACCCTGGAATCCTTGCTGATGGGGCCACTGAGAGGCCAAGACAGAGGTGTCAGTCAGGTCTAAAGGCTGAGGCCTACGAGAAAGTCAGCCTAGGAGACGGGAC